ATATACTGTCACGTATTGACAACTTTTTTCACATAAATCTACTGCCAAAGGACATAAGTCTATCAACTCAGAAATTAAATCTACCTCATTGTCAATAAATCTACTGACAAAGTCAACTATGCGAGAAAGTCAATGCTTTGTTTAACAAGTCTACCAACACGTTTGACAAGTCTGCCATTCATAACAACAAATCTACCGAAACATAATAAATCTACCTCTCATCGTCAAAACTCTACCAAGATAAGTTTACCAACATTTGTAAACTCTACCAACTCTCGAATAAATCTACCATCGACCTAATAAATCTACTGACAAAATTTTTGCGTTGACCAAAATTTGATAAGTCTACCGTCAAACACTGGTAGACTTATCAAATTTTCAGCGCTATATTCTGCCTACGTGGCATTAAAAAGGCAATGGCATTTTCGTAATTAGGTTTTTTTCAACAAAGGCGAAAAGGGTGTTTTGGGTATGCTAGGTTAGTTTCGTAAAAAAAATAAAAGTGCGCCAAACAAGTTATATAGATACTTTTTAAGGTTAGTACAGTAATCCTCCCTATTTAAAATGATTCAGTTCAATACACATCTTTCTCTTAAATGTGAATCATATGCTTAGTTTATACCATTTCATTAACTATAGACGACAATCAGCTGTTAGTTTTTTAATAATAACATATTAATATTTCAATAAAAATTATATTAAGTTTTAAACAAAATTCAGAAAAAATCCAGAAACTCTAAAACTCTAAAATTCAGAAAAAATAATTTTAACTCAGATAAAAGATATTGAAGCAAAAAAACCAATAGATTATGAATTCGTGCTTTGCACGGATTTATTGTAAACTCTTAAAAAAATTTGTAAATGGTTTATATATATATATATTGGTTTGAAATATGGTTCATGTGGTTATCCTTTTATATTAATTGAAATCGTTGAATGGATTTACTGTTGTTTCTTTATATATTATTTTTAATTATATAAATATATATATATATATATTTATGTTGATACGATCCCAACAACATGGTCCTAATATCAAGGGATCCAGGCTAAGTATGAATAACCTATTAAGCGGAAATACTGTTCAAATTTCCCTCCATTCAACAATTGAAATATGTCTTGGACTGATTTGATATCCATACTCTTTACAAAATCGGCATTTAATGCATTATGCTTACACGTGTTAGGTAATAATGACCATTCGCAGGAGGCAAAGGAAAAACAGAGGATCAGTAAAGACCATACCGCATCTGAACCGCCAATCCAATCTGTACGCTGAGAGTGAAAAGAAAGCTCTAAGGAGCGGTCTCGCAGCAGGAGAAATACACCAAGAAAAGTTAGTGAGACCGTCAGAGGCATGACACAAGCATAAGATATATCCAACCAAGTCGGATCATAGACCGATCTGCAAAACCCACGATCAAGGACCGACCCGGTATACTATGTCAGATCAGGTAAAATTATATAAATACTTAACTCTTTCCAACGATAAAAAGGGTTCAATCTCTTTGCTAAATTAAGGTACATGTTATCTCCCTAGATACTTGTGAACCTTAAACCTCAGCACTCTTATATTTCATGTCATTATTCCAACCACTTCAACACTTCCTCACCATGGTGGTTTCTAAACCGTGGAGCATTTCCACTCCCAAACTTTTACATTCTTCTATTTCCTCCTAAAAAAACCCACCAAACAAAGGCCTGAGCAGATTCTACCTTCCTCAGGAACTCTCGGCCCAATTTCTTTTCTCTGTTTTCTGATTTCTTTCCTCTCTCAAATTTGCCACTTTGTGGTCTTTTTCAATGTTTTCTGACTTGAACCTCGGAGAGCCATCGGAAAATACTCTTCAATCGTATTTTTCAGGTCTTCACGTGTTTGTTAGTTTTGCAGGAGACTTGCCCCCAAAGAGGACCAAAAATCCCCTAAACACAAAAAAATTCATATAAAATTCAAATCATAATAAACGGGGAAAAAAATACAATAGTAAACTGAAATCCTCTATAAAATAAAATCCCATAACAAAAATAATTCAGATATCTATTACACTAAGTTCAACTTTTAAAAAAGCAGTATAAGCTCATCTCCAAAAATTCCATCCGGTAGAAGATTTGTATTGGATCCAATCTCAGTTTGATCAATGTCCCTTGTCTTCTTATTTAAGGAATACCTATATAACTAGAATTGTTATATTATAGCTATTTTTAGAGAATTAGAAGTATATGTAATGTCCATACCTTATTCTTAACAAATCCACTTCTGATATTTGAGGATTAAACCGAAATCTTGATAACCCTATGTCTTCATGAAATGTTAATACACCAACAAAATAAAAAATTATATTAAAAACGTACAATATTTGGTTTCAACCGAATCTTATCCAAATGTTGATTACATAACAAAACTAAATCAAATTATACATCCAAAATTTTCTCCATATAACACGTCAATCAGTCAAAACATAAATAATTTCAAAAGCACATGTAGACCACCATTTACTTTGTAAATTATCAGCCAAGTTACTATTTACAACACAACTGATTTCAACATTCCTTGCAAGAAAAAAACAAATTGTTAGTATTATAATACTTGAATTAAAAGGATAAATTGAACATCAATTACCTGGTGCCTTGTGAACTTTAAAACGGTCTCAGGCTCGCAATCAGTTGAGTAGTATTTAACCCTAATAAGTCTTCTAACATACACCACAGAACCTATCAAGTCGGTTTTGAAAATAATCTTTTCAAGACAATTAATTGTGCTACAAATTTATTATACTAAACGTCATTGATAAAATAAGAAAACACTATATTAGCGAAAAACTTACCAATAAGATCAATAGTATCAACAATACCATCCTAATATTTTCCAAAATCGAAAAAGATCAAAAATGTGTTATTTGATCTTGGTTTTATTGGATCCACAGTTGTGGTATAAAGTATGAAAATACGTGATTTTTTTGGAGTCATTTTTTGACCAGAATGCATCATTAATAATGAAATCCTTAACTGAATTCCATTTTTCTTCTTGAAAAGCATTGTTGTAATATGAAACCATTACAAGATTTGTCATAGAGGCTTGAAGTTTGCATTTTTACTAAAAATGTAGTTGGTAAGAAATATTGTTTTATATGTTAAAATAGTAAACACCATACCATTTAATAATATAATATATGCACTTCTTTATGTGTTAAAACCTATATTTTTTTAAGATAGCAACTGACTAAAGTCATCAAGGTGACTAAATTACTTGTAAAAGAAAAGAAATTATTCTGATAACATAGTGAATACTTACTTCATTGACAAAAATGAACTTTAAACCTTCAATTTCTTGCGGACCAACATTCTCTCACTTCTTCAGCACCATTATTGAGATTTTCCATTCATATCTCCAACCATGTAACTGAGAAACTTTGTCAAAACATTCCATTTCAGAAGGTACTCGTTTTGCTAAACAAAAATATGACATCAAATTTTTCCTTTCTTTACAAACAGAGTTAACCTAATTGAATAGGCTTAAATGATATTGAGAATATAGTTTCTTATTCATTATCACTTTGGATATCAACTTTTGTAATTAGATTCACTTAGTATAAATATAAATGCATAGTTAGAAGCGCTCCTATGGACTATGCTTTCTATGGTTGACAATCAGAGGACAGAAGTAGCATTTGCTACAAACTGTTCTAATGTGGTGAAGATGGTGTCGTCACCCAAAGAGTGGCCGGCTTTTGCTCTATAGTTGGAGGAAACTGGGAAGTATAAAGAGAGGTTTGTCTTCTTCTCATTGATCCATGTTCCACGGGCAGAAATACAAAGGCAAACAAATTAGCACGAAGCACTAGAGTCTACACAGAAGATGTTATCTATGTTAACTCATCGCCATTGATTTGGCTTACAAAATCGTGTTAGGTGTTGAGGCCGTCGACCAAAAAAAATTAAGACAAAAAATTATAAAATATATGTATTAAGAGAAATGGTTACTATAATCTATAACTACCAAATGTGATAACTAAGAAAAAAATTATTAATATTTTAGTTTGCATCATACTTATATAGATGCAATAGAATCACATTTCGTGACGAAACAGGATCCATATGATTAACATTATGGCATGATCGCCTCGGTCACCTAGGCACATCAATGATGCAAAAAATCGTAGAAAACTCACGTAGTCATTCGTTGAAAATTCAGGAGATACATCAGAGAAATAAAATGACATGTGCTGAATGTTCTCTTGGTAAAATGATTATAAGGCCATCGCCAACCAAAATTGACAATGAATCACCAAAGTTCTTTGAACGAATTCAAAGGGATATTTGTGGACCAATTCATTCACCGTGTGGACCATTCCACTATTTTTTTATATTAATTTTTGATGCATCTAACAGATGGTCAATTGTCTGTCTATTATCATCTTGAAATATGGCATTTGCGAGATTTCTAACTCAGATAATAAAACTGCGAGCTTAATTTCCTAATTATTCCATTAAGAGAATAAGATTAGACAATTCAGGTGAATTTACATCTCAAACATTCAATGATTATTGCATGGTAATGGAAATTGAAGTTGAACATTATGTCGCTCATGTTCATACACAAAATGGTTTGGTTGAATCATTAATTAAACATTTGCAATTGATTGCAAGACCATAACTTGATTATGACATCAAAATTCCCAACATCTATATGAGGACATGCTATTTTGCATGCAGAAGCACTCATTAGCACATTTGGTCGAAAACCAAATATTTTCCATTTAAGAATCTTTGATTGTACAGTTTACGTACCAATAACACCACCACACAATGTACCACACAATGTACAAAGATGGAATCACAAAAACAGTTGGGAAACCATCACACAATGTACAAAGATGGAATCAGTTGAGAATATATATTGGATATGATTCTCCATTAGTTATGATACCACAGATTGGTGAAGGACAATAGGAAAGTAGATAATGTTTGGTTATAGAAAGTAGAGAAAAAAAAAAGTTAAATCGGAAATAGGTGATGACATCTCGGCAAATGTAACATCCAATTTTTTCAAGTTTAATATATAGAGGATTTAATGGTTCCCTGATATTTAATGGAATTTTGTATCTATTACACATAAAATATTGGAATATAAAGATTACTAACTTAATGCCTTTTGAAAACAAGGAATGAGCCTGCGTCAATAATCCTTTCGGAGTTTAATAGTACAACTCCCTTAAGACTAACTACTGAAGAGGCAAAGATAGCTCAAGAATCAAAAAGCTTAATGTTCTTCATCACTTTTGTCCAAAGAAGAAGACAAGAAGCTCAAGATGAAACCATCTAAGTCTCCTTCAAGAACCGAGTCAGGATCAGAGACTTCGTAGTTTGTTCTCAGATCCTTCACCATTCTGTATGGCTACAAAAATAAAACAAAGAATTTATACTCGTCTCGTTTTCAGCTAATATACCCAAATTACAGCGGAAAATGCATGAAATCGGCATTACTTACATGGAGAACATAAGTTCTTATTTGGTTCCCCCAACTGATCTCGGTAAGTGATTGTGTATGTTGCGCGTTCATTGCTGTCTGACGAGCCATCTCTAGTTGGTCTAATCGTGATTGTAATACTGCCATTGCTGAAGCCTTGTTCATATGCTGCGACCTGCATACCAAAAACAGGGATGGGCATCAAAACCAAACTGAAACCGAAAAGTTAAACTGAAAACAGTTTCTTTAAACTGAAAAAGTGAGACTTTAAAAACCAAACCTTTCATTCTGACAAGTTGCTGTTATTCCAGTTGGTATGTGAATGATTCTCACAGCACTGTCTGTCGTGTTAGCATGCTGTCCACCGGCTCCACCAGATCGGAACCGCTCTATCCGGAGATCCGAGTCATTGATCTGCACTCGGGTCGACCCGTCACCAAGTATTGGAATCACTGCAACAGCTGCAAACGAAGTGTGTCTCCGTTTTCCACTGTCAAAAGGGGATATACGCACCAGCCTGTGAACTCCAACTTCTGCTTTGGCGTATCCATACGCGTATTCACCGTTCACTTTGATTGTCGCACGCTGATCAGGACAATAGATCAATCATAAGCCAAAGGTTCAAAATTTGGATTTTGACCAATTGCTCTTGTGTTAGTAGTCTAGTGCTGGAGCATTGTAAGCCTATATTTGAATCAGTTAGCTAGAGAGATAACAAATTCTGGATTCGTTTAAGTCTCTCTATGATGTGTAGTTCTTGTTGAACTGAATAAAGAAAGAGTTTCTATCTATTAAGAAAAAATCAAACCTTGATTCCTGCTATCTCCCCAGGCATTTCATCAACCACAGTGACAGAGAATTTACGTCGTTGAGCCCATGTTTTGTACATTTCCATTACCATTTCTGCCCAATCGTTGCTCTCTGTACCTCCAGCTCCAGCTTGGACCTATTCAACAAACCATTTAAGCTTTTCAACATAAACTCAAAGAATGAAAACTCTAATGCATATTGTCTCTAAGTCACCTCGATATAACACGAACAAGGATCGTTCTCTGCAGATAATAAAGCCTCGAGTTCTTTCTCTTTCGAAACTCTTCTCATATCTATCAATGCCTTCAAAGTTTCCTGCAGCAAAAATAAATAGTAATCATGTATTAGCAATACATGTGATTCTATTCTGTATTACTAAAGCCAGATTAGCTGGTTATAAACTACAAACCAAAACATTTCAGAACACATGCCTAGATTATTGAGAAAATGAGTGGAAACTCCCACCGATTCTAACTCTGAATCGTTCTCCTCTTTAGCAAGTTTCAACATGTCAATGTGTTCAAGCAATTCTCTCTCAAAAGTCATAACTCCTTTCATTTTCCCCGTCAGCGAGCCGTGCTCTCGGCTTATCTTACCAGCATGATTTGGATCATCCCATAGATCAGGCTTATTCAGCTCCGCAGATAATACTTTCAGCTTCACCATAAGTTTCTTCCACTAAACATACAAAAACATGTAAAACTTCAATACTCCAACAATGTAATGTAATAACGATGAGAAGCTTGTAAAGTTTCGATTTTTTAACCTGCAACCGTCTCTTGATGACTTGAATAGACTGTGCAATTGCTGCAGCGTGGCTTTTCCAATCACTCTCGTTCTCATCTAAGATCGGCCATTGATTAGCTATGATTCGTTCCACTGTAAGCGCGTCGCAAGTTGCAGCCACGGTTACAGCCTCTGAGCTCAATGGTCTAGCCGTGGAAACGAAACTGCTCTTAGAGTAAGCAAGATTACCGAATTTCTGATTCAGATAAGAGATTTTTCCAGATTGAGAACCAAAAGATGTGGTTTTGAAGCTTCTAGTGAAAACTGAGGAGAGCCCAGAAGTAGAAGAGACTGAATCGCTGCAATCTGTATCCGACGGAGAGTTATAGGAAGAGAGAATAGTTCTGGTTTTGGTTCGATGGGTTTGCCAGAGAAGGAAGGATCTGCTTCGTGATCTTTTGATGATTAACAATGACATTTCTGATTTCTCCTCTGTATCGGAAATTTGATCAGAAGAAAGTTGTTGAATCTTCCTCTGTAGGGTTTTGTGATTTCTGAGCAGGCGAACGGTGTCGTGGCGAACAAATCGCAACCAGAATAGTCAAACCAAACCAAACCAAACTAAACGTAATTTAACCAAAGCCGGCCCGAAATTAAGTTGTAAACTGCTCGCTTTTAGTTTTTTGAAAGGGTTGTTTTGAAAATAAAGGACGTTTTTAAGTTTTAATTTGAGAAAATGGTAGTTTTAAGTTTTAATTGGTCGGGGTTGGGATATATTTGAATAATGGCAAACTTACCTTTTTTTCTGAGAGAGAGAGAGACAGTACAGTCTGTTCTTAGAGAGAGACATACTCAGAAAATACCGTGGGTCCCAGGCGAAGTCTACATCCGGGCGCGTAACAGGCGGGAAGAGAGCACTCACGCGCGTGATTGGGTCGTTTTTTGGGCCCGATGTCGAATTTGGGAATGAAATTCTCAAAAACCACCTTTCTGGACCTCGGTTATGGGCCGGAAACTACCCAACTAATTACACGAAAAACTACTTTTCACATTCTCTTTTTAATTTTGGCGGGAAAATTGTGGTTAATTAGAGATAATGGAGATAAATTGGTAAAAATAAGAAACAAAGTACCCTAACCAAATTAAAAACCCTAGTTTCCCTTTCCAGAAGATGTTGAAATTGAAGGGGAAATTATGCGATGATCAAGAGGACAACAACCACAGTTAGTAACTTAATCCTATTATTGTACACCCATAGATTTGTCATTGTTATTTTCGATTTTTTTCGGTCTGGTGTTCGCTATTTGCCAGTAGTTTTTTATAGATATGGTGTTCGCGAATTGCAGTGGATGCGTTCATTCTTGTTATGGCGGGAACGTGGATAAGGTACTATATAGGAGAATGAGATTTCAAAATGGACATATCTCGTCGTGGAAGGTGCATAAATTGCAAAGATGTGTCCGGACCAGATGATTTGAGAAATCTGATTGCGCATGAGTTCGGATTAGACACGAGAGTTGTTTCGGTGGAGATTTCCTACTGGTTTGATGATGTTCTAGCTGAGCTTAATGGTGATGGGAGTTGTCCATGTGTAATAGTTACTCCTCGAGAGTATAAATTCTTCCTTTCGCTGCATAAGTCTGACAAGTCTGTGAATTTATTTGTCACATTCAAGGAGTCAGTATATGGTGAAATGGTGAGATTGAAACAGAAGGAAAGTCTTGAAGTTCAAATTGCGAGGGAACGGCGAAAGTCCTTAGGGCCAACAAACTTCATTGCCTCTTCTTCGGCTGAGTCTAGACAACCCGATGATGAAGCAGATGATGAAGATATCGATGATTGTTTGCTGATAGCACATGCCGAGAAAGTAGAGGCAGAGGCCGCAATGAACACCTCCAAAGGTGTACAACCTGAAGCTGTCTCTGTAATCCATCCTCCAATGGGATTAAAAATGTCCCAGGAATCAGAGAAAGTAGCGGCTAAGGCCAGCACTAACACCTCCGTTAATGTAAAACCGGATGTTCCAAGTCACGCTGTCTCTGTTCACCACCCTGAGTTGGAATTAAAAATGTCCCAGGAATCAGATGAGGCGAGAGATTCGGAAGAGAAGGAAGCTGATGATGTTGACGATGCAGAATACCGATCTGATGATGATTATGATCCGGATTATGATTTTGACTGGTGGAATGATTACGTACTAGCAGATGGTAAGGGTTTCCATTCTAAACCTGGATTTGATGAGGATAAGGATGACTCTGGTAGTTCAGGCGGTTGTGGAAGTACTCGCGGAAGTGAGCCGAGTAATTCAAACCATATAGACAACTTCATTGTCTTAACGGAGAGTCCTATTCATTTTCCTGGAAGAAATAGGACTGTATGTGAGAATGTTCTGGCTCCCCATGTAGATGATGATGATTTTGTGCAGACTCCGACAGGTGATGTCAGTTGGGGGCGTCAGAATGGCGGTGCAGAGCTGAAGAAAATGATTAAACGTACATAACTATATGGATTTCCGGATGTGGCACCAGTCTCTGATGAAATGGCAGGGGATTTCGATGAACTTGATTTGTCAAATGAAGATGGAGAGATCTGGGTTGGAAAAAAGTTCAGGAACAAGGAACACTTTAAAATCACGTTGGCCATCAATGCGCTGAAGAATATAGTGACGTTCGAATTCAAAAAGCATGCGAAGAAGTACACAGTCGCCGAATGTCCATCAAAGATATGTGATTGGAGAGTGTTGGGGGGTCAAGTTGGCAAGTCGGCGTTGTATGAGGTGAGGAAGGCGTGTTTGAAGCATACATGCCACCCGGATACAAGAAAGAAATTTTCTAAACATGCTACTTCTAAAGTCATGGCGGCTCTGCTGAAGTCTAAGTATGAGAATGCAATAGTTGGGCCACGTGCGAGTCAGCTACCTGCGATTGTTCTCTCCGAATATAATATTACAGCCTCGTACTGGAAATGCTGGAAAGCTAAGGAACTGGCTATATACTCTGCTCACGGAACAGAGGAGACTTCTTTGAAATTATTACCGATTTACCTCCATGTGCTCAAGTATGCTAACCCCGGCACCATAACGCATTTGATAACCGAGAGCGAGGGAGATGAAAAAGAAGGAAAATGTATTACCAGGTTTAAGTCCGTATTTATGGCATTGGCTGCGTGTATATCTGGATGGAAACATTTGAAACAAGTACTTGTTGTTGATGGGACTCACCTCACTGGTAAGTATAAGAGTTGTCTATTAACGGCCAGTGGACAAGATGCTAATTACCAGGTATTTCCAATAGCGTTCGCCGTTGTTGATGCAGAGTCTGACAAGACGTGGAGGTGGTTCTTTGAGAAGTTGTTAGAAATTATTCCAGATTCCTCTGATCTTACTATTATCTCGGATAGGCACGGTGGAATTGCCAAAGCTAAAAAGAAATGGTATCCACAGTCACACCACGGTGCATGTCTTGTCCATATCCAGAGAAATGTTCACGGTAAATTCAAAGGTTCCGGTCATAAAGGGTTGGTCGGAAAGGCTGGAGAAGCATTCACAGTTTCTAATTTCAAGAAACTATACGCAAGGCTGAAGGATGTTGATTATGGTTGTTGGGAGTACATGGAAAAAATCCCTCTTGCGCTGTGGACTAGATCACACTTTTCTGGTCAGAGGTATAATATGACCTCCAGTAACATTGCAGAGTCTCTGAACAATTTACTATTAGCTCCAAGAGACAGTCCAATCGTTGCAATGCTAGAATTTATCAGGCGAATGTTAAGTAGGTGGCTTGAATGCAGAAGAGAGACCATTCAAAAGCTGGATGGTGACATTACAGAAGAGGTTGACAAGTTAATGAACCTGCAACAGCAAAAATCTGCTGCACTATCGGTTCAAGGCATTTCTTTGTGGGAGGTTGAAGTGAGTTCTGAGTTCGGTGTACGGAGGCTTGTTGATCTGGAAAACAAAACATGCTCATGTCTAGAGTTTCAGACATTGAAATACCCTTGCCGACATGCAATGGCCGCGGCTAGGCTTCGCCAAGGTGAATACAGCAGTTTGGTTGATCCAATTCTTAAAAAAATCAATTTGGAGTGCAACAGTTTCTGGCAAAATCCTACCAGTGCCCGACCCTGACGACATTCGTATCCCAGCAGAAGTGCGTGACCTTATTATTATGCCACCTAAGGCAAAGCGTCCATCAGGAAGGCCTACGACGAAGAGAAAACTTTCAGCAGGAGAGTATCCTCAGATTAGTGTACACTAAACATATATTTTTTTCCCAGTGATACTGATTACTGATTAATGATTACTGATATACGCTGTTGCAGGTTGCGAAAAAAAAAGAAACCAAACAAATGCTCGAGATGTGGAAATCCCGGCCATAACCGGGCAAAATGCAAGGAACCATTGGGTTGACCGGGTGTGGCTTTTGTGTGTGTCATGTTGCTTTTTGTGTGAGGATGTTGCTTTGTTTTTCGGGTTTGTTTCTAGCGTACACTATGTTTCCCTCCCTCTATTTAAACTTGGAAAGGCATGAACTATGTTATATTTGTTATGAAATTAATGATGTTTACTGGACAAGGTGTACACAGTGCGTACACCCTTGTCGGTGGACACAGTTTGTGGACACTGTGATCTCGCTTTGTTTTTCGGGTTTGTTTCTAGCGTACACTATGTTTCTCTATATTTAAACCCGGAAAGGCATGAACTATGTTAAATTTGGTATAAAAATGATGATGTTTACTGGTCAAGGGTGTACACCCTTGACGGTGGACACAGTTTGTGTACACTATGATGGTGGACAACATAGGCAAGTTTACATCATATAGTGTATTTGCATTATGGCTTATTTATAAGTTTACATTTATATGGTGACGCATATAAATTTATGTGTATGGACGTTAGGGGTTATGTTTAGGGTTTAGGGTTTAGGGCTTAGGGTTTACGATGTAGGGTTTAAAGGTTCACCCTATGAGAATGGTGTTTTCAAACTAGACATTCACTTTCCGCTTGACTACCCTTTCGCGCCTCCTAGGGTAAGGATTGAAGCATATCATTGCTTTCTCAAATTGCTGTATTTTTAGGGTTTAGGATTTAGTCAATAAAGATTTCAATTACTAATAACACTGATTTTTTTCAGGTGATGTTCAAAACAAAAGTCTATCACCCAAACGTTACAACTTATGGGAACATTTTTCTGAAGATGTTGAACCCAACTCACTTCAGGACCAACAACAGCATCAATGATGTATTTTTACATATGAAAGAAATAAATCGTTATTGTGTTTTATGGAATATAATATTAATTCCGTTTAAATAAGGGATTAACTGTGTTTACATGTATATGTAATCAGGTACTGACGGAAATACACCAAATGTTAACTGCCCCACAAATAGGGGATGGACACTTTTTTGTTGAAGAAATTGCTAGGATTTACGTGGAAGACAGGGCTGCTTTTGAAACCACTGCACTTGCGTGGACGGTGGAGCACGCCGGAGGAGCATAAACTCCTTAATTGTACTTTTAATTATGTTTGTTGAA